GGAAAGAGAGACATACAATCATATCATACTAATGCAGTGTGACAAAAGCCTTAAGTGATGTGTGGACTTTGTGGTATTCTAGAGCGCACATCATATGCCGACTTAACATAAAATCATCTGTACTGTATGTGAGCATTTCAGCTCTATATGCCTACATTTAAATACACATGTCTACCTTCCCACCTGACTTCTTTAATATTCTTTGTGTCTACAGCTTATCAGAAGAGAGGAGTGTTGTTTATTCATGAATTATTCTAATTTATTTTCACTTTTCCTACTGTCTGTAATCTCCCTCAGGATTGCCACCAGTTAGGTCAAAAAGATAACTAGCAAAGACTCAATCTGAGTCTCCAAACAATTTGATTCTTCCTATTTCTTTCTGAAAGAACAAAGAAACACAAGTTATCCTTGCTCTTGGGTTTGGGGCTCCCTGATTCCCAGAGGTTAAAAGAAGCTGTTTTGACTCACATAAGTGTTTGGTAAATATTTGTGAAACTCATGAATGAGTGATAAACTCCTTGAGGGCAAGGGCATGTTTCTCTCCAGTTCATAGTTTTGCATTCAGCAGTCCACAGGCACTGGCTGAGTAGAGGAGCATTTCACTGGAACAGAACTGGTGTTGCCGAGTAACACAGGCTGGGTAGGGACCTTGGCTCTGTCTCTTGTGGACTGAATGCCAGGAGGGTGATTTGCTTGACGCTGGAACTTTTGTAAAGTTGTGAGTGATTACATACCAATTCCATTGAAAAGGTTTGCTGTGATAATTGAGAATTACACAGTGCGGTATTTGAAAGGGGTTCAAGTAGTGTTTGCTCTCTGCTTTTCCTTATTTGAACTTGACCCCCCCCCCCCCATTTCTGTGGTTATTATCTGTGGGGGAGTTAAAAGTCAAGTCAAACTTTCTGATACCTCCAGGGCAGGCATGTATACCTTTCCTGTGTACCAAATGCATCTTTGGTGGGTTATGGGCATCTGTTTCTGATCCGAGTGTTGCCCAGCAGCCTGAGGCTTATTGGATGAGTTTACTGTATCTCCGTTCAATTTTCTTCTCAATTCCTTCCTGCCATGATAATGTGAGGAACATTCTGGATTGTGAGAAAGGCTAGGAGTAGGCATGCTTTCTTTTGTTCTTGGTTTTGATTGTCTTAAGCATAAAGGTTACATTGTCATCTCTTCCTAACTCTGTTAATGTCCTTTTGGTGCTGGGTTGCAGGGAAAGGGAAGCTTCCAGACCTTCCCCAGGATCTAGTGAGTACAACTTGCCTTGGCTGGGGCCAGGGAATCTGCATTAAAGCACACTATCCAGTGACAGACACTCATCTTACTCTTGGAATGGAAAAAGAACTACTTTGGGGCAGTAATTCAAGTCCAGATAATGCTTGGATGTGGACTTGCGTCATAGGTCCTTTCCCTTACTGAGGTTTACTTTCCTTATGCATACAATGAGAGTAATGGTCTATCTTCCTGCTATTTCCTGCTGATGTCTCTGATTTACATCAAACATCAGTATTTTATTGGCTCAAAAATAAGGATTTTATAACAAGCTTTGATATATTAAGTGCTTGAAGGAGGCAGATTTGAAAACCAGATCCTCATTTCAAGTTGTTTGTAATCTGCTTGAGGAGACGATTTATGGAAAATCCAGGGTCTGTCAAACTGGTGTGTACCTAAGTGGTGAGTTGTGTACCTTGGTTATAAGCAAAATGGAACTTTAGCATTGAAGAAGAATTGACTATAATAATCTAGGGCCACTGCCTAAAGAGGTGGACTTTGGTTTGTGTCTCAGACAGTAGGCAGGAATATACAGGAATTAATAAAAGGTTTGGGCACAGATGATGATGCACCAATATGGTACGAAGATAGGAAAGGTATGTATTTGTCAACTCTGCAGAATCATATGTTTCTTAGGGAACAGGGCAGGTTTTTTTCAGATTAGAAGAATGGTTGTAAAATCTTGCATGAACCAAACTGTTCAGTACCTTTAATGTCAACACATCAAGTTTAGATTTCATCCTTAGGCAAAAGGAGACAGTAAAGGTTCATGGTCAAGAAAATACATGAATTAACAGATTAAAAATTGAAATAATCTACCATAATGCCATAATGTTCATGGAGGTATGGGAGGATGTGTTCTAAGAAATAGGCACCAATGTGAGATTGAATATCCAAGAATCTTATCAGAAAATATTTCTTTGGGAGAGAACAGGGAAGATATGACAAGAGATGGGGACAGCTGCTGCCCTGAGATACATCTCAGACCTTGAGGAAGGAAGCAAGGTTGGCTAGGGTCAACTCAGACTGTGGTGAAGTTCTGGGCAGGTTCAGCAAGATTGTTAGAAAGTCTTAAAGTTCGTGTTTCCCCTGAAATGAGTCCCATATCTCCTAGACATAGGTATTCTTTTGTGTCTCTTGTGATTGGCCATTGACTAAGAGTTAGAGATGTGGACTTGGTAAGATGATAACAGAGTTTTCAAGCCCAACAGTTGAGATCTGAATTCAATTGCGTTCCCAGAAATTAAATGTCTGAAAGGCAGTTCTTGTGCAAGTTACCAAGGAGGAGAAACTAAGGATACACTACTTCATACTACTTCAGCTGCTTTATTCTCTTAGGTATTATGTGGATTTTATCTTCAGGCAGTGTTTCCTGACCTTCTTTGTGCCTTTTTTAGATTTGATTCCCATTCCCAACATTCCCATTTAAATTTTTTTTTTTTTGCTGTATCTTCCACCATGACCACAATGACAACTTCTACTCCATGCAAGAAATTTCCTGATCATTTGTGGGATTTTCCTGTCAACAGATTGTGGACTCCTGAAAGGATCTGGATTTTTGTTTGTGTGTCCTTTACATGTGGTCTTATTATGGCCAGAGTATCATAATGATTCAGAAGAGGAAGAAAGAATGAAGGACAGATGTAAGGATGAAAGGAGAGACAAGCACAAAAACTAATTGTGGAAAGAATAAGCATGGTCCCAGAGCTTGATATGAAGGGTTTTACAAATCCAGTTACTAGAAACTTTAGTCAAATTAATACACTCAACATCTTTCCTCTTTCTAAATGGGGTGTGTGTGTTTTGAAAACTGATATTCCTTAAGACCTGATATGGAGATAAATAAAGTAGTTTGGTCTGTACATAGTGATCTCTGCTTTCACATGGTAAATATGAAAGTGCTAATAAAAGTTCAAATGAAAGGGGTAGTGCGTGCGTGCGTGTGTGTGTGTGTGTGTGTGTGTGTGTGTGAATTCAGACAGTAATGATCTGGTATATTGCTCGCATTCTGTTGGGACGGTGTGAATGACTCTCATGATAAGATTAGTCTGACTTTAACAAACTAGCCAACTAACCATGGGTGAGAGAGGTTAGTGCACCAAGTGACTATGGTAATTCTGTGATAATAAGACTGTTGCTTGGCATATTCTCCTGTTCTGCCGGAGAGGTTGTCCACTATTCTTCAGCAGCAATGCCATTGATGTGTGCTGTTGATGTACTCCCTGCTGTTGTGCTACAGTCAGAGGATAATAGCTTTAGGGGTTCCACCAGTCAACACATAGCCATTGTATGTGTTTCTCACTAGCCTGTCTCTTATCATTAGAGGAACATGATCTGAAGAAAACTTATCAGATACCCTCTGTCATTGTCTTTGCAGGAAAGTCGAATGTCCCAAGCCAACTTTGCCATGGTCTGTCTATCTTTGACCTTAATGGCTTGCATCCCCTGGCTTTAATTTTTTTATTCGTTTTTATAGAACAAATAGACATAGGTCTGGTTGACCCCCATGGAGTTGCTAAATGAGAATAAATTTTAAAATGAGCATTTTGTTGTTAGTTAAGTGCCATAAAAATGTTCAATATAATGGCTGATTATTTTTCTTTAATCTTAAATGGATACCTAGAATGGGAAAGTCCTATCCTGGTAGCAGAAATTCATTATCTCGGAAAGAGTTTAATGGCTGCTGTGCAAATGAACTGGAGGAAGTTAAATTGTGGAATAGGAAAGAGCTGAGAAAAGTGAAATGAGTTGTGCATTAAATTTAGATAAACACAATTATGTGTAACTGGATTATCATGCGTGCAGGCAGGTAATGTGTATTATGCACCTGCATTTTGATTAAAATCGATTCAGGTGCATGAGCCTAGCATTCTTTGAAATATGGAGTTGTGCCTGAGGCATTGTCCAGGCGCATGTGCGGCTGGCAAGGAAACATCTGATGTCCCAGTCCCTATTTAGAGGGGTGTAAATGACACAGTGCTAGACAGAAAAGCTCAAGAGCCATTCAGAAAACCACTAACCATGTCACACACAGCGCTGTGTCTGTGATGCTTGTAGCTTCCTTATGGGTTTCTGAACTTCAGCCAGAGTCAGAAAAGTGGTCTGAGTGTGCAGAAGTCCAGCGACCTGCTTGCTTCCTGGTGGAACAGATGCCACAGGTTGATGGTAGATGGCATTGGAGAATGTTGGGGATTAGACTGCATGCCATTCACATATTTATGTCTGCTAAGATCCCACCAGAGGAAACAGAAAATGTCTTTGAAGCTCCTGTGCAGACAGAAAGAGGCCCAGATCCCTCTGACCCTTTTAGATGCAGTTCTAGAAGCCAGAGTCATCTCTAGATCAAAAGGAAGTATGTGTTGTGATCTTTGGGTGGTCTTCGTGGTGAACAGAGCCAGCTAGTCTGTGCCTGACCTTGAAGGAGGACAGATGTAGATAAAAAACCGTGGATGCACGATTAATTCCTGTAGACATGTTTTATTTCAGATACAAAGCATTGATAGGATTAGAATAAATGCTACCAGTTATACAGATGCATTAAATTAGTAATTTTCCCCTTACTTGATCCTCTAATACCCCTCAACTCACAGGATAAATACTAAACCCTTCTGTGGGTGATTTAGGATGCATGTTACACTGATGCACAAACTAAAGTAGCTGTGTTTCTCCCTCCCTCTCTGTCCCTCTCCTCCTCCCTGCCTTCTCCCTCACACCCTGCCCCCTTGCAGGTCATTCTTATCCTGACGAAGCTGTATGACTTCAACCTGGGCAGTGTGACTGAGAGCTCACTTTGGAGGTAAGTGGGTTAGAGTCTCGGGTTGCTGCTGTGGCTGGGCTCACGTGCAGGAGGCGCCCTAAGAGGCAGCTGGGGAAACTGTTGCTTCTGCATTCACGATCTGGTGAATGATGCTGGAGGAACGTCCCTTACACTGTTGCAGACCCTTCCTGGCACCTGCTCTAGATGGCGTTCTTGCCTTGCCCCTGGACTGTCTCCACCCTTTGTGTCTGAATTGGCCGTGGCCTCAGTAGGATGCTGTCATTCCTGAGAAAAAAGTGCCTAGCAAAGAGGGGAACCTTTTTCATTCAGTCCATTTGGATTTTTATGGTGTCATTTATAGGGTCATACAAAATTATAAGATTCAAAGTTAGTCTGCTGCACTTTTAAAAAGAATGAAATTATATCATTTGCAACTAGATGGTCCCAACTAGAGACCATTATGCTCAGTGAAATAAGTCAGTCCCAAAAGGACAAATACCATATGTCCTCTCTAATATAAGGACACCATCATGCAAATTGTAAAATCGTAAGTTCAATAACCTTTTCCATACATTTTTTGACAGCATCCCATGTGTTTTGATGTTTTTGATTTCATTTTCATTTCTTCCAAATACTTTTCTTTTGTCGAATCCATTGCTGGCTCGTGGATTGCCTGGTGGCATCATTTTACCCAAGAGGCTTTTGTGTTTTCTTTTCATCACCCATGCATTGGTTATTCAGTGGCATGTTTCTTGGCTCCATGGTGCTGTAATTTTGTTGTAGTTGTTTTCACTTTATACCTGTTGTTGACCTTATTTCGTGGCTCTGATTTATGGGAATGTATAGTGATGGAGTAGTAGAGTTCTTCCCTCTTGCTGGAGCTCGGAAGGCAGGGCACAGGTGCCTCTCTCCCTTTCCCTGGGTCCTACTCACCTAACCTGTGAGGGCTTCCGCTGGGGTTTCATATCACTCAGCTCCATTTTCCTTCTGAGCAGTCATCACCATCTGCCATGTCAAATGTATACTTATTGATTTTTTTATTGTCTATCTATACCTACCAACATCTAACCTTGTAGAGAAGGGTTACATTTTTGGTCTTTACATTTTAATTCTCTGTTGTAGCTTAACCATCTAGAAGAGGATCTGGCACATAAGAGATGCTTAATAAATGTTTGCTTGATGAATAAATTAATGAATGGGTTGTAGTAAGCATTAAAGGAAATAGCAAATGTAAAATCACTTAGGACTGTAAAACTCACACATAGAAAGTGCTTATTTCACTGAAGTTATCAATGATTGCTATAATTCTGTGTGTTTGAAGATTCACTTTCGTATTGATTTTGTGTTTAAGTATCCTGGCTGCAGAGCTCTGGGTGAGAGAAATCCCAGGACACCTACAGGTTGTGTTATATGTTCCAAGGAATTATCAGAAATCTTTGGGGAAGAAGGCAGGGGGTTAGAGAGAGGAGGAGAATGCTTGAAAATGCTGTCTCCTGTGCCTGTTGGGCAGATTTAGAATATCAGTTTATATCTAGTCAAAATGTCTTCCTGGGAAAGCTGTGAGCTGGTTCCTGGAATAATGGGAAGGATACAATTTGGGCCAGTTGGGAAGGTACCCACAGTATAGAGCCAAGGCCAGGCAGTCTTGGTTTGTAGAAGAGAAAGGGGATACAGATTGAGCAGTGAGGTTTGGCTGAGTCCAGAAAGTGTGAGAGGCACAGGTTTAAGTTTGGACCAAGCTTAAAACAGTTCACAGCTGACAGAGTGTTTGGTGTGGCCTTTAACGGATTTACAAAGCTGGTGCATATTTCTCTCTGGATAAATGTCAGAAGAATTCATTTTTATATTGGGTTTCAGGAGCATCATAGATCTGTTTAGTCCCTAATTTGATTGAAGCAGGGGCCTGTGCTGCAATATTGTAGGGATTTTTCCAACATACAGGGGCCTCCGTGGAAGTCTTTGAACACTTCACTCTCTTCCTCATTTATTCCATGAAGCTCTGTATCTTCCATTGTCTTCTTGTGCAGTGATAATAATGATGTATTTTACAGTTAGAGCCTGGAGCAGTGTGATTGTCTTTCCTAATACAGTGAGCACAGAGAAAAAAAAAAAACTAAATTAAAAATGCAGTGTTTCAGCATCCTGATTTGGCCCAACATACTTAACCGAGTTGAAATTGGATTTGGTGATTCTTCTTCAATTTTCTGTGCAACATAGAAGTCGTGGAGCAGCATCTGTCATGGCAGGATGATACCCCCTGCCAGGTTCTCATATGATACAATTATTTCCCTCAGTGAATTAATAATTCAAAGGGAACATGACTGTTTAAAACTTGTAGATTGGGTAGCAGTCTCTTGCACTCTATGACTTCCTTTCTGGTGCTATTGTATATACTACTGCTAATAAAGGGGCCTGACCCAGGTGGAAATAAACCATGCTAGAAGAACTGCAGGGAGGAGACCTCCATGGGTGAGAGATGCTCACAGAGCTCAATGCATTTGAAATGATCCAGGCACAAGAAAGAACCAGGAAGGCCTTGTCACAAATGCCTTCTTCTACTGGTAGACCTTAGTTCGCCACCTCTCTCTGTGATGGGGGAACCTCTCTGTCATATGCGAGGGGAGATGACTATCTCAGTTCCTGTTTCCCTTGAAGGAAGAATTGGCATGTGGACAATGCAGAGAGCAAAAGCAAGATTTATTAAGGAAAGAAAACTGCTGCTGCAGCAATCAGGAGGGGGACTGCAAGAGAAGGAGATGTTACCAGAAAAACCCAGTGGGTTCTTTCCTCAGCCTAATACAGAAATGAAAAGCTGGGAGCTGGTTGTAGACAGATAAGTTTTATTTGCGAAGTGACTGGGTGAGGAGTGCAGAGGAGGTCATACAGAGGTCTGCAAGAGTCACTTTAAGGGTTCTGAAACCCAAGCAGCACATTCGTGGGGGTGCCTAGGCCACCAAGGGGGTACCCTCCTCCACCAAGGAGAGATCAGCAGGGAGCTTGGCACTTGGGTACACTGTCATGCAGCTGGCATTTGGAATCTACATGGGGAATTTCAAATCGTGCAGAAAAGTGACCTGTGCCAGAGAGTGCCAGTTGTCCAGCAGGTTTCTTCTGAACATATGCCCCATATGTTCAGCATATGACTTTGCTCCTGAAAGGAAAACGGAGGTGATAGGAAAGTTTGGGACTAGAGCCCCTGAAGGCCTAAGCTGCCGCCCTTCCTCCTAATAATACAGTCCTCCTGTAGGTTTGATCATAGCTAGGTTGTGCCCTGGGCCTCCATGTTTGTGCAGAGCCACAGGGTGCCAAGGTGCACTTGTGTGGGTTCAGTCTCACTTGAGAAAAGGGATACCGCTCTTGTGAAGTCTCTCAGTTGAGCTGGGCCATGTGGTTTTGGTCTAAGTTTTCTTTGAGCTCCATGTTGAGCACCAGGGAAAATATGGGAGAATACCAGAGCCTATGAAACTGTGTCCTAAAATGAAATAAAAAGGGTAAAAAAAGGTCATCAGAAGGGTATGATTGGTAACTTCATTCTATTCCCATGATAGGCTAAAAACACAGACACTGTCTCCTTGCTTTCTCCTGATAAAATTGGAAATGCAGAAGAATGGGGAATGGAACTCTGTTCTGGGGAGAGGTAGCTTTTTGGGAAACAGGTGCTTTGCATTCTCTTAGAAGAGCCTCTCTTGTGATTTCAAAGATTAACTAGGGAGTAGGATTCACAAAATTACCATGAGTTTTTACTCACGGAAAACTAGAAACTTACAGTGGGAACCCACTTTGATCTTGCCAAATGTGGATTTTGTGGAGAAGCAAGAAATTTGGATACTTTGAAAGACATCCTCCACTCCTTTTTTTCATTCCACCAGAAACCTAACCCTGTGTGACTATTAACTCATCTACCTTCTTACACTATCTTGTTTTAGTTTGATTGATCTGCAGCCAAGAAATAGCAGGAAACATTTTGGTCATTTAATGAGAGATAGAGATAGAGTAGGGGAGTGAGCATGCAGCATTACCATACCCTCCTCTCCTTTTCCACCAGCTCATTCCCCAGATGTCTATAATGGCAAGGAATGACTGAGCTTGAAGTCAGGAGCCAGGGACTCAGGCTGCGTCTTCCATGCAGGTGGCAGTGACTATCATCTGTTGCTCCGAGGGTGCGGATGAGCAGTAGGCATAAGAGAGGAGCTGGGGTTTGAGACAGATAATCCATGTGGGATACAGGCATACCAACTAGGAGTCTTAATTTCTGGGGCAAATGTGCTCCCCTACATCGTCCTCTTAGAAAAGCCAGCAGAATGCACAGCCGTCCATCTGAAGGGTCCAAGCAGCCAAAAGACTTCAGATGAAGAGATTCCTAGTTAGCATACGGAACAGACCTATACCCATACATATCTTGTGGGACGCTTTCCCTGGCCCTCCTCTCTGGGCAGGTACCCCCTTCTGTCCTTTGCTGGTGTCACATGATTATACTGTGCTACAGATTTGTTCCCTCCCTGGGGCTTCTCAAGGCAAGAGCTATGTGCCTTAGTTATTCCAGGTCTGTGCCACCAGGCACTTGAGCTGTGCTAAATATGGGGTGAAGATCAGAAATCTCAATGACTCTGAATCCATCTCGGCAGTCTCCCGCCTGGCCTTGTCCCTTGCCTTGTATTGAGTTACCTCATTCCCTGCCATTTGGGGATCCTGTGATTTTTCATCCGTTCACAAGCTGTTGTCTGTACCATATTTTTCCTTCCTAATTGTTCTGTTAGTGACCTTTCTTGGGGATGCTGCTTTTTAAATAGAAAATGGAGACCTTTTGGATTTATTAAGTTTTTGTTTGCCAAGAAAACTCATAATAATTGCTAAGACTTCCCAGAAGTTACTTGTTTACAAATTTTAATGACACATATGGGCTTACCTCTTTCTATAGCTGTTCATCCTGATTCCTTAGTGGAATTCTTGCTGCATCTGAGTGCGTTAGTAGCTTTTGGGGGGGGGTGGTGGAGAGAGACCATAAATTAAAGCTATATAAACCTTTTCTTGGTTCTTCA